ACCCACCGCCCTCGCCCACCCAGCCCTACCAGGCCGACACAGCCGGCACTTGCCAAATTAAGAAAAACTCCTCAAAGCAACAGACTTGCCCGTCACGTTGCGAGGGTTGCGTGACACACAATAACAAGAATTGCTTAGGCGATGGACGTGCCCCGTCACTTTCGCCATATTTACATTGGCAACCTAAAACAGGAATATATTCTAAGTAGGAACAAAACAGTGAGTGGATTATCTACCTAACGAGGAGAGCAAAGAGTAATCTTTTCTACAGTGCACTTGCACTAGGACCCTGTTATATGATCTCGGACTTTTTTCTCTACAGGCTTCGAATGAGAGGACCGAAAACCATAACGACAAGAAACAGCCTTCTTCTCCGTACACTGGCGATTTTGGTCATTGCATATTTCATGTATATCAAAAATTCATTACCATACAGACACCACAGTAAATTACGTTATCTAGAACCAAAACTAAAACTGCCCGGATAATCGGCTTGGGTGCCATGTTTTAGCAACTCTATGCTGGGTCCGTAAGCGGCTCTGTGCAGCATGCCTATTCTGAGTAGGAAGTAGATAAGCGCTACAATTTCCAGCCGAAGGTTGTACATAGAATGGTTGCTAGCTTGCGCAAACTTCACAATATCATCGATGTCCTTAAAAAATAGGACCGGAGGAACATTGCCTACGTTTCGAATACCACTGCGGTGGAGACAGTGATGGATGAATGCGAAACGTGATCACTGACGAGTCAAGTCAGTCATGAAGAACGAGCGCAATTTTGTGACGAAGAGTGCAGTGGACCGAATGACGCTAGTATTCATAATCGTGCAAACAATTAGACGCTCCGACGGATAAATGACGAGCAGGGATATCACTGCGGTCACGCGAGAAAAGTTAAAATCTGATGAGCAAGCCTACTGACTGTACATAGCATGTTAAATGATATTGGCGGGGAAGTAAATGACCCGGCAGTTGAAGAGATGACTTACACTGAACAAACGGTAGGCACTAACTAGGGGCGTGTAATTCAAGACTGAATGTCCTGGAATAATTTTATCCAGCTTCTGAGAGCAATCCAGTAATATCGCTGGCAACATCGCTAGTATGGGGTCCCCTACCGATTAAACCAGACGGATTTGGTGTTTTTGATATCCTTGATAGATTAATGGGAGAAACAGAAAACAAGAAAAAGTGAGGAAAAAAGGGAATTATGAAGGAAATCAATCTCTAGTAGTACGAGCGATCTTTCCACAGGATAGAATCATGCAAAAACGCATAATCACACTGATAAGCCTGGTGTGTTTCCAGCCTGGGTATGCATTTATGAAAATGCGAGGTCGCATATGTCTCACGTGTGGGTGCGTGGAAGTTTTAGCTGGAAAATTGCTGACGCGGTACCAGAAAAGCTGAGATTTTTAGGGAATGTTCCCTGTTCACGTACTAATTTAAAGACTTAAATTCAGTTCATAAGTACTCCTGGTTCTCAATTCCGGTCAAACAGTCCCGATGCAAAATTACTAGCTAGGGAACGAGAAAAGCTAGAAAGCTGAAATTTTAATGGCATGTTCCCTGTCCAGGTACCATCCAAAGGTTTCAAATTCAACTCCTAAAGACATAGAGGTTTCACATGTGGATACATTGACGTAAAATTTACCTAACTCGAGGAACCGAGGAGGCCAGAAAGCTGAAATTTTAAAGAGATATTTCACGTCCACGTACGATCCAGAGATTTCAAATTCAGCTCCGTGATACGCTTGGTTTTCAGATATTGACATGAGAAAGTTTTGACAGGAAAATACTGTCTCGAAGGCCAGGAAGGCTAAGAAGCTCAGATCCCCCTTCTCCTTCTCACCATTTATATATACCACTGTTTTAAACTGAGACCTTCTAACCATCAATTTCTATAAATTCCTGGACGCTCCAGCTGGAGTTATCTAGCGATCCAAGTTACTCTATATTTCGCGTTGGTACCGTCATGAGTCTATCGGTCGGTAGCAAAATGCTGAAACTTTGAATTTTCAGCTTGCTAGTCGTGTCAGTACCAGTCTATAAACGAAACTACTAATTTATTGGGATTGTAGTTTTTTCCAACATTATAATTTCTGAAGTTGAAAATCGTGGAAGGAATAAATCTGGTGTATTTTTAGGTATCCATTTTGCTCAGTGTAGATGATACGTCAGCAGCTGTGTTTACCACATACGGTGTGTGTTTTTCTACACAAATCATTTCGGTGAAAATCCATAAACTGACAACTTAGCCTCACCGGATCACACATTTTTGGCTTTTAACTTTTCCTATTTGTTTTCAAACGAAACAGGCGTTACGAGCCAGTCATGTACGAGGATTCACGTACTTGCTACTTTACCATTTTGCCGAAAATTAAACGTGGAGGGCCTATTTTTATGATCCATGGAAACCAGGCAGCTTTCAGTTTCGTTTCGAAATTTTTTTTTGGCACTTTTTTTTTAATTACTGTAGCACAGCTGTGTTCTGTTGCGTAAAGTTTGTTATTTTTAGAAGCGTTGAGCGTGAAAAATCCATGCAAAGTGGCGTGTCCGGTGAAAGATTTTCGGAAGTGTGAAGCAACAAAGGATACAATTTTGAATCGTTGGCATTTACTCTGCATCACTGTATAAACGATTCAGTTGGTGGCTTTTTATCGCGCGGAGCTACTTCTGCTTCACCCACAGCTTCGCCATAGGCTTTTTGTAATTATAATGCCAAGATCAAGTGATAAATGCATGCCACTGGATTTGCACTGTAGCCATGCTAGTAGAGTACATGCGGAACTACTGGTGTGTTTGTAATGCTGTTGTTCAATTCGTGTTTTTATGAAATTAAATGAAAAGTTTGTGTTTTTGCGCAGATTTGTCTGTGGGAACAAATTATGAGCAACGGATAAATGGGCCGAATCAAAAACAGAATGAAGAAACTCTGTAGTTACCCGAAAAATGAGATTTTGATGTGATACACAAACGGAAACCCGAAGTTAGTAAATACCAACAGTAACGACAGGGCCAAAACGGCCCCCAGAAGCAAACAAATGGTTTCTTCGTCGATAGCTTGCTTGTTAAGTAACTCTCAACAGAGGGAGCCATCGACAGCTTTGCCTTAGCTGGCGCATGTTACAGTGCGTTTAGCTCAAAAATGATGCAAGCTCAATCGTTTATCAAAAGAACAAAAGCCAATTGTTATCCGATCGTTAATCAAAGACACTGCACAAATAACATGTATGTCAATTAAACACAAGTGTATTTGTAATAATGGAAATCACGGATTCTTTTGTGCTTGTACTGAATTTGATTCGATGAATGAGTGAAAGCTTTCCAGAGAAATCCAGCGGAAAATCTTTCTTTATTTTCTCGGCTGATGATTTTTGGCGAAATGTATAAGACACGGACTCCACGTAATGGCAATTCGCGACATGAGAAGCACGTGCAGTGTAGCATTGGAGGCATGAACAAAAGGCCTGGTCAATTCATCGTGCCTGTAACGCGTTGATTTCAAATTCAGGGCTCATGCAGTTTTTCAGATTTTTCGGTTCCTTTTCGGTACATACTGTATGGAAATCAGTAGAAGCGTATTCGTGAAAGATCGCGGATTCTTTTGTGGTTGTACTGAATTTGATTTGATGAATGAATGAACGCTTTTGAGAGAAATCCAGCGGAAAATCTTTCTTCCTTTTCTCGGTTGATGATATTTTTGGCGAAATGCATGGATGGGGGCTCCACGTAACGGCAATTCGCGACATGAGAGGCGCATACAATTCCGCATTGGAAAGCATGAAGCCTAAACATAAGGCCTGATCAATTCGTTGTGCCTGTAACGCGTTGATTTTAAATTCAGGATTCATGCAGGTCTTCGGATTTTCCGGTTCATTTCCGGTGCATACTGTGTGGAGATCAGTAAAAGTGTATTCGTAAGAAATCGCGGATTCTTTATGGTTGTACTGAATTTGATTTGATGAACGAATGAAAGCTGTACAACCATGAATCATCGTCTCTTTTCTCGAACGAACCCATCGTGGTCTAAAACACTTAGATTTCAAGCGATCTGCAGTTCTTCCGGTTCCTGAATGACTATTTTCATGCGTCGTTCGAATTTCAGCACTTCCCTTTCATCGATGTAGCGCCAAGCCGGTCGCCCTCAGAGAAAATCGCAGCTGTGTTAATCCTCGTGCAGGCGGAATTGAACATGAAAACCACCCCGTCGTGGTATCTCTGATTCGCCAACGCAACCGCACCACCAACGCGTAGTCTCTTGAGCCAACCAGACACGTATATCGCACTGAGTCCGTGTCTGCCAAGTGAAAGCCCCGCGTCTTCCGATCTCGTCGGTCGGTGGATGCTTACCATTTCCAGCATATTGGGCTGCCTCCCTATCCAGCCTCACCCGAATTCCGACAGCACCGGCCAGCACATCAGAAAAAGTAGAATGAAATTGCTGGTAGAATTTTCGCTCTTTTATGCGACGCTACTTCTGCATGCAGGCAAATTACGCGCGAGTTGTATTTTGCATTTTGGCAAATTATTTAATAAGCTGCAAAATATGCATCGCAGATGGCCTGCTAAATTTTACTATTCTGTGAAGCGTATCAGTGGCGCTGTCTGATGTACTGATATCGACATCTTAATATTTAAATTTTGGCTTAGATATTCAGAAATTTTCACTAAAAGACAATTTTAGATCAAGTGCTAAGGATGGAGCAAATGTATTCAAAACGCTCAAAAACCTTTTATGATCTCGTGAAATTTGTATAAATTTGGAGGTCTTCAGCAGTAGTATAAAACCGCCTCAAATTTGAGCATTGCTCACTTCTAATCTTCTACGCTCCTAGTCCTCCTTGT